GACTTTTTTGACACGTTCAGTCCAGTGGTCAAACCGACCACCGTTCGTATTTTACTTTCTCTTGCAGTGTCTCACAGGTGGACTCTACGTCAGCTAGACGTTCACAACGCCTTCCTAAACGGGCACCTATTTGAGACAGTATATATGAAACAGCTACCAGGGTACGAGGACCCCACTCATCCCGATCACGTGTGTCACTTACAACGCTCTCTTTATGGTCTCAAGTAGGCACCCAGGGCATGGTTTAAACGGTTACATGAATTCTTAATCTCAACAGGGTTTATGGCTTCCAAAACTGATGTGTCTTTATTTCACTACACTGACGGAAGTTCGCGCGTATTCTTACTGGTTTATGTCGACGATATTATTATGTTGGGTAATGATCCAGCATTAATTGACTCTCTACTCAAGCGTTTATCTTCTACCTTCAAAATCAGGGATCTAGGCAAACCTACGCTCTTTCTGGGCATTGAGACGCTATCGGACGGGGATAGCTTTATCATGTCACAGCGTAGGTACATGGTTGATATATTATCTCGTGCCGGTATGATAGACTGCAAAGCATTGGCTACACCAGCTTCAGTTACACAACCGGCTACACCGACTCCAGATCCGTTTGATAATCCGACGCAATACCGCAGAATTGTTGGGGCTCTGCAATATCTCACTATCACTCGCCTCGATTTATCCTTTTCAGTCAATAGGCTTTGTCAGTTCATGCATTCTCCAACGCAGGATCACTGGGGACTACTTAAGCGTGTCCTACGATATGTCAAGGGCACTCTGGATTATGGGCTTCGTCTGACTCCTTCACTATCTTCCGATCTGCATGCATATTCAGACTCTGACTGGGCTGGATGCCCGGTTGACCGGAAGTCTACTAGTGGCTATGCGGTTTTCCTTGAGACTAATCTTATAACGTGGCTATCACGGAAACAGCGCACTGTAGCACGCTCTTCGACTGAAGCTGAGTATAAGGGTCTTGCTGATGTAGCCGCCGAGGTAACCTGGGTTATTTCCTTACTTCGGGAGCTGGGCCTACATTCTGGTACTCCTACGACATTGTGGTGTGATAATCTGGGCGCCACTTACTTAGCAGCAAATCCAGTATTCCACGCCAGAACAAAGCATGTCGAGATAGATTTTCATTTCGTCCGTGATAAAGTAGCTGCCGAGGATTTCATTGTCAATTTCGTCTCCACCAAAGATCAGCTTGCTGATATATTCACCAAACCATTACCAGCTCCGCGTTTTTAGACTCTCAGGGACAAGCTCAATGTTGTCTGCATCCACCCTTGTGCTTGAGGGGGTGTGTTAGTAATATTTATGTTTTACATTTATATTGTATGTTTTATTATTATTATTATTATTAGATGTAGACTAGTCAATTGTTCTATCTTGAATAACAGGAGAGTATTGTGTTAACTCTCCTATAGGACTCTCTGCATTGTCTCCTCAACAATCTGATCAATTATTTGAATTTGAACAAAACATCGTCTCATATATATATATATATATATATATATATAGGGAAGGGATGAGGTGCATTTGTTGCTTCCCGTGCGGATGTGCGTGAGGTTTATACATAATGTGCGTGAGATTTGTACTCAATGTGCCTGAGATTTGTACTTAATGTGCGTCATGTTAATATGTGTGAGTTTTGTACTTAATGTGCCTAAGTATTTTGTTTAATGTGCGTGAGATTTGTTCTTAATGTGCGTGCGTATTTCAGAATTACGAGCTCAGAAGGAAGCAGAACAGAAACTCACGCACATTAACGCCAATGCTTCTTGTTACTTCTTCCTTCAATTTGGCCATGGATTATGGATTATCAGCTACCTTCAGTGCAGTTGAATGTTTATATAAATGACGCACGCACAGTAAAATTTGCACAGCAGCTAAGTGTGGATTTCTGTTGTATTATTCCCATAATTTTTAACCACCATAGCTCGCCCCCGCATCATCATCATCGGGGAGGGGGCAAATGGCTACTGGGGATGGGGAAGAAGCATTTTCTGCTGCATTTTACACATTCACGCACATTAAGTACAAATCTCAGGCACATTAAGCACAACACTCACGCACATTGAGTACAAATCTCACGCACATTAATCCACCGCACATCCGCACGGGAACCTTTCAATATATATATATATATATATATATATATATATATATATATATATATATATATATATATATATATATATATATATATAGATTTAGGTTCTCGTGCGGGTGAGGGCTTCAGGTGCGGTTGTGCGGTTGTGCGGTTTAATCTGAGTCATTCATCTCGCTTTAATCAACGTCCAGGATTATCAAAGTTTAAAAAAAAAAACGCAGTGGCAATTTTGTAATTTTTGTATCTAGGTCAGAATTAAGGTGAGCGGATTTGTGATTAATGTGCGTGAGTTTTGTGCTTAATGTGCGTGTGTTTTGTGCTTAATGTGCGTGATGTTTGTGCTTAATGTGCGTGGGGATGTGCTTAACGTGAATAGTTGTTAAAACTTAAAGTCTGTGAGTGAATACTTAAAGTGCGTGAGTTTTGTGCTTAATGTGCATGATGTTTGTGCTTAATGTGCGTGGGTTTTGTAGTTAATGTGCGTGAGTTTTGTACTTAATGTCAGTAGTTGTTGAAACTTAAAGTCTGTGAGTTAATATTTAAAGTGCGTGGGTTTTGTGCTTAATGTGCGTGAGGTTGTGCTTAATGTGTGTGGGTTTTGTACTTAAAGTGCGTGAGTTTGTGATTCAGATCTAACACTTAAGGTGCACCTTAGCTTATACTTCTTTGTTCCAAGCACGCGTTTTTTTTTTTTTTTAATTTTCATTGATTTGAGCCGTTGATCTAAATTTGATCAACTGCTTAGATTTAACCGCACAACCGCACGGGAAGCTATACCCGCACCTGAACCCTTCCCTCTATATATATATATATATATATATATATATATATATATATATATATATATATATATATATATATATATATATATATATATATATATATGAAATGACTAATATGTCTTTCAATAATTTGAGAATTTGAAGTACAATGTAAATTTTTATCTACACTCCAATGGCAAAAAAAGTGTGACAAATTCAATGATTAATTAATTACTTAATACAAAATGATACAAATAAAAAATAACTAAGGGGTCCCTTAATAAATTGAAATTTTTTAATGCATTATTAATATTAACATAATTTGTTAATCGTGGACTGAAATTGTCACTTTATAGATAATTAAAGGGGAAAATGTGTTTGGTAATAATTCATATAACGAGTCTACAATATAGGTATAATCAGTGGACTAAAATCGCTATTTTTCCTTTATTAAATGAAATTCTAGTTGCTTCCATTATTGTTTTGCATTCCTTAATTCAACTTTGTTGTGGTAATGTTGAATTGATTATGTTTTCTATTTTCTATGCTTTTCTAAATTCGATGTAACCGACTTGTAACACTCTGATTGGCAGAGCTTATTTAGGAGTTTATAGTTTATTTTAAACTACTAATAAGCTATAAGTTCTGTTTGGTAATGTTCCCAAAATAAGCTCATAGCTTAAAATAAGAGTTTATTTTTGAACACTACCTTAGATAAGCGTTTCAAAATAAGCTAGTAGCTTCCTAACTTTTTTTTTTTTTTTTTTCATCTTTGTCCTTGTTATTTTAAAGAAATGGCATCATTTACCCTTCCAATTAAAATCATTTACTCTTTTCCTTTATTCGCAGCTTTCACCGCAATTATTATTATTATTATTATTATTATTATTATTATTATTATTATTATTATTATTATTATTATTATTATTATTATTATTATTATTATTATTATTATATTCGCAACAATATTGCTATTTCATTATGAAATGTTAGATCATTATTATGCTAGTAATTTTATTTCAAAATGTTAATTTTTTTAAAGACAAAATGAAAGTTTAATATGTAAACAAACTAATTTAACTTTGATGAAGATTTCATTTTTTTTTCTTTTTACATTTACCATCTTATCAAAAAGCTAATTTTACCAAACACTTTCAAGCATAACAGCTAGCTTAACAGCTTTTCAGTTCTCAGCTCCTAACTTATAGCTTTTCAGCTTTCAACTCCTTTTGAGCTTTCAGCTACCAGGTTCGCCAAACATAGCCTAAATTAAAGATGCTATTTTGAAACTTTTGGAGGTAGTTCATAGTATAGCTCAAACACACAAAATGCAGCTTTGAAGCTTAGTTCATTTAAATAATCAAAGTTTGAAATGCTTTTCATTTAAGGGACTACTTGAATGAATTCCAACACATGAAAAGGCTATCATTATTTGTTACGAAATGTTTTAAACGAATAACGAGTTTAATGTTATGCAGAAATCTTTGTATTTTGATCGTGCCTCAACAAAAGTAAAAGTTGTTTATATATGTTAAAGTTACGTTGAATGCAGTGGTGAACAACTTATTTTTAGTTTGAGTAAATGTGGTATGCTTCTGAATAAATGTGGGCTGCTCAATAATCTGAACTAATACACATAAGTCATAACACACATAGTCATAACACACATATACACTGCAATTAGAAAAACAATTTCTTTTATACCATATGCATATACTCACACAATGAACTGCTCAATGTTAGAGCAATAAAATGCAGCATAATTTATCGGCTCAACTGGTCTCAGGAGGTGAAATTTGTCACAAGAAAAGACATCATAATTGAATTACTTACATTAAATCTTTAAGAAAGTAAAAATTTTATGGAAACACCATTGTGTTGAAGTTAGAAGAAACAATTGATTGAGCAGTAGGACCGCACATCATCTAAAGTAGTAACAACAAGTACAATTAACAAAAGCAAATAGAGGAGCATTCTTGGAGTCTATGATTGCTGTTACAAATACCTATGCTGAACAACTTAGGAAACATTTCAACTTCCAACAAAACCATTGCATACATTTCTAAGTTGCACCCAAATTGAACCCACATGGAGATTCACCACACCATACTAGGTTTCTAAAAGGCTAAAACCATGGGTATAAAGCAGACAATTTGTGCTTTTGGAGATGCACGTGGGAAGCATTCCAACTTCCTTAGGATTTTGCTCACCTCAGAGTCATTCATATCCCAAGGCTTCAAAATAACAACTCTCTCTAGCACAGGGGATTTCGAGAGCAGCATTTTCATAAAAAGCATTATGAGTGCGGATTCACGGAATGATTCAATCTTGATTGTGTTAAGCATCCTGAATTCCTGAATAACAAAGCAACCATCTGGATCCTCCAAAAGCCTTGAGGCAACTTCTTTGTCATCCTCCCAACTCCCCCAAGCTCTATAAACACACAAAACTGTGAGGACATTTGAAAAAGAAAAAACAAAGAATCAAGCATGATATATTGCCAAATGCATGTATACTCAACCCCTGCTCATCCACCACCATAATTCCTAGTTCACATAGGTTGGGGCATTTTTGAAGCAATTGCGTAGCAACGGTGAGCTGCTTCCCACAACCAAACCTTAATCCATACAGCTTCATCACTTGCAGATTTATTGCAGTTGGAAACAAAGATACATCCATATACTTGAAAAATAGAAATAAAGAAACAAAATTACCCACCACAATAACTATAACAAGCCAGAAGGTATAGTATAGAATTATATGTATCCATATATCCATTTGCATAAAGTAGAATGAGTTAGATTCTCACCCGCAACGAAGAGCCACACAACGAAAGAGTCTTAATGGCTTTCAAATGTGGTGCCAGCCATCTGGACTCAACCACATCTCCAATAGAATGAATAACAGACAAGATTTCAAGCTGCTTTGGAGGGCTGATCTCAAATTTATTGATCCCAATACAAAGTTCCAAAGCCAGCTTCTCAAGTTTAGGGATACTAATACTAGAGGCAATTCCATTAACATTGCGCTTAAATACAACATTCAAGAAAGCTAATGAAGTGACATTGGAAAATATACCACAAGCATTTACAGGCAAATCAATAAAGGGACCTTCGACTATCAGTTTCTTAATTGTCATGCAAGAGAGTAAACAAAATGGCAGCTTATATTCCTTCACAATACTGTGTAAAGATATGTTAAGTTCCTCTACACCATTTCTTGACAGAAAAAGACACCAACTATCAAAATTAGTCTGCTGCGGCTGAGGATCTCCATATGAAATGTGTAGAGTAAATTTCTTAACCAGCCCAGCACGAAGAAAGAGGATATTATTGATTATGTTCACGAGGGTTCTACCGTCATCATCTTTGCGCTGTTGGACACTTCCCAAGAATTCCCGATCGAACGCAAGCCGCCCATGCTGCAACCAAACGTTATTCCAGTGCCTTGAGAGCAGGGCAGTTCTGGCGGCATCTCGGGTGGGCAAACATTCCAAAATTTTGTCCTTTATCTCTATCGGCAGCTCACTTGTTAAATCTCTTATAGGCTTTCGCCGAGCCATTAAATTGGAGACAACAGAGAGGCGATTCAATTCTTCGCTAAAAACCTGAAATCGATTTCGTAAAGAAAAGGAAATTTGGGAAGAAAGAAGAGACTAAAACGGGCCGGATACCCTCACCATGGTTTATTAGTTTATTTATCTAAATATCAGTCTTTTAACAAAACTAGTATTTGTCTCGTGCGATGCACGGAAAATATGTTATAAAAATATACACTATATGAGGTTTATTCATATATAAAATTTTTGTTATTTAATAATTATTATGTGTGAATTCCTATGATAAAATTATGAACATAAATATATTTACAATTAAAATAATATTTAAAGTGGGTGATTACTACAAATCTTAAACTATATTAAAAATTTAGTACATAGTATTTAATATTATAAATTTTTAAGAACTTAGTAAACTACAATAGTAATTGAATTACAATTTTAGAGTCACCACGGATCAAAATTTTTAGACCTTTGAGATTTCTAACTCTAGATGTAGCAACATACAATTGACCTTTAAAGATCAAAATCACAATCTTAGTTAGAACATTGATTTTTTTCTTCCAAATACTATCGAATTAAGTGTGTAATCAATAAAAGATGAGAACTAATAATTCGAGAATATAATCTTAATGTTACTAAGCCTACTTCATGTCAATTAAGTTGGAGAGTGTTGTTGGATAGTATCCGATGAATCCACGAATAACGCATCTTTGTCTCCGTAGTCCTCAATATGCACATCAACAATCTTAAATATTAAGCCACATAGCTATGCTATATATTAATTTCAAACTTATGGACTTTGGGGTTGCATGCATGCTTCTTAAAGTCATATGGTCTTGTGAAAATTAAATGCAACATTTAATTTTCACATCTTAAAGCCCATTTAATTTTCACAAGACTTTCACATCTTAAAGCCATATGGTCTTGTGAAAATTAAATGCAACATTCAATTTTCACAAGACCATATAGCTTTATTATATATAGGATTTAAAACTTGTTTGGAGCAGTAATTCATTATATGCTTATGACGCTTTTCTCCTGAATTATTTATGTATTCACTTTAGCTCTTCAATTATTTTAAAAGTAGTAGTTTTTTTCCTTTTAAGTTAAACTAGTATTTGATTGACCTTAAAAAAAAAAAAAAAAAAAAAAAAAAAAAAAAAAAAAAAAACGTTAAACTAGTATTTGCTCGTGCAATGCACGGCCATTTTGTTATTGTATAATTTAAAAATATGAAATGCTCAATACATACGAAATAAAAAATAATACTTTTTTTTTTTTTTACATTAAACAGAAATACAATTACAAATTATTAAAATTCGTTGTAAACCACATTTTGAGTAGCCATAAAAAAAACCTCTAGGTTCACCACAAATTAGAACATTAAAACTAGTTAGATTGCTAACTTTTGAAACTACTACGTACAATTGATCATTGTTAAAAACATGTTTTTTTTTTTAATATCAAACCAACATAAACTAAAGTTTGTCCTTGACTTTTATTTATTGACGTGGTGTATGACAACATAACAAGAAACTACTTCCTTTGAAATTTAAATGGAAGTCTTGGGTCTGACGAAGTCAATGCTTTCAGTGGGATCAGCACATTGGTACCTGCATTGTTTCCCTTAAAATCTGCACTTCAAGCACATGCACTACTAGAAATTATGAAATTTTTGACCACCTGAAAGTGATCTTAAATCAAGTCGAAAGCCTTGTTCTGACCGTTTTTGGTATCCGGAAAAATCTTTGTTGCTATTTTCGACCACTTTTTGCTTTCAACTTGATTTAAGATCACTTTCAGGTGGTCGAAAATTTCATAATTTCCAGTAGTGATGGTTTCCTAGTTTTGAGATAATCAATCGTGTTCCATTACAAAGACCCAATGAACCGTCTATGTTTCTCAAAAGCATAACTGGAGATCCAACATTCAATGTTAACGAATGGTTTGGTATACCTGAACACCTCAACTGTTTAAGAATTGAGGAGTGTAAACTTCAGATTACATATCAACATTATTAGTGTCCGACTTGCACACAGAATCACAACTCAAATGCGTTTTAGATGACACCTCATTCATACCTTTCATGTATTCATTCACATAGTCGACAACATCTAATTTCGGAGCCAAGATGGCTCGAGTCTCCACATTTTTAGGGTCCATCTTACCACTACGGTATGAAGGATATGTGCTATCAATAATCTCTTGTATAGGATCACCTTCTGTTTTCAATAAAAACTGAGATAGAATACTGATATTGCAGTCCCCGTCATTCAGGCTCGGATTTTGGGCTGTGCAAGCTGGGCTACCGCACAGGCCCCAAATTTTAGAGGGGCCCCAAATTTTAGAAGCTTAATATTTTATTTTTACCTAGTTAGTTTCGAAATAAAAATGAAAAGTTTTTAATTAAACTTAAAAGGCTTTATAAAGAAGTGGAAGGAACATGCATTTATTGTATTTTAACTTTGAGGTCTAAGGTTCAAAACTTGTGCACACTATTATTATTATTCCATAATATGTCTATTTTTACCTGTGCGTTGCACGGAAAAGATACGAATATTATATAGTGCAATTGATGAAATGAGTTGTATCGATTATGTTTTTTTATGTTATCCTTGCTTGAATTCGAGCAAATAATTGCCCAATTATCCGTGCAATGTGCGTGCGATGCACGGATAATTTTATTTTGTTATATATTTAGATAATAAAATTACGGTATTAGTTTTAAAGATTTTAATTTTGGTAAGGCCTTATTTATTTACCCGAACAGAGCCACAAAAATCTAAAACCGGCCTTGCCGTCATTGTTGGAACCAATGCAAGTTTTCCATCACCTTGCTTGCTTAAACCTTAAACCTTGCTTGCACTCAAGCAATGACATATAAGCATAGAAATTTTCCAAGATGATAGTAGGGCCAGACAATAGAGCTACTGAGCATACCACAAAAGTCACAAATTACTTTATTCTCCATAGGAAATAAGCTAAGGATCCTCATAATTAATGTCAATAGGTTAAAAAAGGAAGACAACTTTTTTTTTATTTTTATTTTTTTTGTTTTGCAATTTGCTCCTTAAATTAAGAAAAGTTTCAATTAAACACTTCATCTCTTCACTTTTATGCATTTTAGCCTATAATTTTTTCAATTTGTGTAATTAACTTATTTTGCAAGTAAACTCAAATAATAGTTGGTGAAATTGAATTTAAAAAAAAAAAAGAAAAAAAAAAAGAAAGGAAACACAAATTGCTGACTTCTCCTCAACTGCTCTTACAACGGCGGTTATGGTGGAGATGACAAGAAAGCGGAGACGCGCGGTAGGGGAATCCAAAGACCCGCCACCGCCACCATCACTGACTCCACAGCAAGAGATTGTTTTTAGTGTCTATGCATTGCGAGGGGTGTGCTCGGAAAGTTCACCGCTGCCTCAAAGGTTTCCATGGAGAGTTTCAAATCGCAATGCCTTGGAGGCAAATTAATGATCGAGGACATTAAACTTCCTCATAGTAAAATAGCAAACGCTGCTACCAAGTTTAAGTATTTTGCCAAAAAATTGTCTTTGTAAATGAAGAATAGGTGTTGCCACTTGTCTTTTGAGGAGAATTGTTATCCATTATTTTCTAGACGCACTTTTTTTTTGAAAACTAAAAACCAACGGAATGCATTGACTAGCAAGAATATAATTTATATTCTAGACCCACTTAATCAACAAGCAGGGACGGAGCCAGAAAATATGTTGAGGGGGGGCAAAGAAGTAGGGATGAATTCAATGGCGGATTCAGAATTTTTTTTTTAGTCAGGGAAAAAAATTAAAATAAAAGAGAAAGTTAAAAAAAAAAATGAAATACTTAAGAAGTATAACAATAAATATTGTTGGATATAGCAAAAAATAAAACATATTAAAACTTTATAAAAATATTTATAACAAAATATGAAACATAATTAATTTGATAAAACAATTCAAATATAAAACACATTTTAAATTACACATTCCATTATTAATATAAACAAAGTTATAATGGAAGTTATATATATCATGCCAAAATTTAATTGTGTTAATCAAAAAAGTGAAGAAGACTGTAACATTGTCAATACAAAGACTCAAACCCAAGCTATTCCGAAACTCATATACATTAGCTACTTCCTTGTCTATCACAGTTTTTGTTTACATAATCTGTTTTATAATACTTATATGAATAATGTACTATATATACATATTATATACAATATAGGGTAGGGGTGGGGTGAGGTGGGGTGAGGGGGGCAGCTGACCCCCCAGCCCCCCATCTGGCTCCGTCTATGTCAACAAGGATAAATATAATTAATATATGTCCATCCCAGAACCCACACCGTCGAAACCTTTGAGGTAGCGGCGAACTTTCTGTGCACACCGTACCCCTTGCAATGCATGTACACATTAAGAACAATCTCCTGTGGTGGAGCCGGTGGCGGTGGCGCAATCAGGGACGGAGCCAGGACGGAACAATGCGGGGGGCCAAACTACGATTGAAGTACTAAATTAAATACATTGATATCCCGTTAACATATCTCAAAATAATTATTACATTACAAATTCAATAAAGTTTAGAATAAATTATTTATAATTGAATCTATATTAAATTATTTTGCAATATGCTTTTCAATGCACATTACTTTGTACGGTTGAAAGAATGAAAACATGCACGCATGTTTTAAAAGACTATTGATTATTTCTTG